CCCCCAAGGGCGCCCCCCCCCCCCCCCCCCCCCCCCCCTTTACCATTTCCCCCAGGGCACAAAAAAAACCCCCCCCCCCCCCCCCCCCCCCGCCCCGGCCCACTCGGCCCCGACCCCGCCACTGCCGCCCGTTGTGCAGCGCTTCTGCCGCGCCGCACCGGTCCTGCCCTGCATGCCGGTCCTGCGCGCCAGTCCTGCGTGCCGGATGCAAGCGCCCGATAAACGACATCTTTTTAAACATCATATCCCATCCCTCCAGCCCGCCTCCTCCTTCCACCGTAAAAAAAAGTCTCTGCCGACGTGTGCAAAACCTTGCCCACCTCCCCCGCCGGGCACGTACAGTACTGAAACAGTGCAACCCTTGCGCGTAGAGCAGCAAGGCGCGCGGCGGCCGCGGCGGCCGCGGCGGCGGTGGATACTGTACAAGGGTAGCGCTCAGGCGACGTAGGCGTTAACGAGTTTTGTTACAAGTCCCTCTGCTCACATCTGCTGACTGCTCTACTACCTGTATACGTATTGCATAAACCGCCCCTCCGCCTCCTCTATATTCACGAGATCTCCTCGCTCGTGGCCACGGTCGCCGAGTGCGATCCGAGCCCGTCCGAGCTGCCCGTACTCCTATTACAAATGTCCGCCCTGCACGTCGGGCAGGTGCGCGCGTGATCTCTGAGCCATTCCCTCACGCACCCGGTCAGGTGAAAAAAGTGCCCGCACGGGAGCAGCGTGATCTCGTCCCCGGCCTCAAAGTCGGACAGGCAAATCGCGCACTCGGTCAACCCGTCCGCCGCCCCGTCCCCATCCTCCTCGGCCGCCGCCATCTTCTCGTGCTCGGGCACGCCCATGTCCGCAAAGATCCGCTGCACGGACCGCGTCTCCCCTTTCTCCATCACGAACGCGGGCAGCGCCTCGATCTGATCGTCGGACGCCGCGTACTCGAACCGCTGCGCCCGCGGGTCCGAGTTGAGCCGCACCGTATGCACGCCCCACCCAAACTCGGGCTCCAGCTCGGTCGTCAGGTGGAAGTGTCTCACGGGCCTCCTCGGCGCCGAGATGTAGTACGCGTTCTGCACCGTCATCGTCGCGAACCGCCTTCTATGCCTGTGCGGCGCGCGCGCGAGCTGCAGCGGCGCGGACAGCTCGTCCTGTCTCGCCGCGTGCGCCCCGTACTCAAAGTGGTTCATCTCGGCGTAAAACTCGTCCTCGTGCGCGACGTCGCCCGCTTTCGCGGC